GAGAGCGGGAGTATGGGAAGGCGGACGGGGCGAGAGCGGGAGTATGGGAAGGGGGACGGGGCGAGAGCCGGAGTATGGGAAGGGGGGACGGGGCGAGAGCATGAGCTCAGGCAGTAAGGCACACACACCTGGCTTTGGGTTGAGGAGGTTAACCGGTCCGGTCCAGATGGAGCAGGCAGGCAGCATGCAGGGCTTTACACATGGTGTACCTCCTCCCTGAGACATAACCACAACCACAAGGGGTCACCTCAAGCGACAACTCGTTAGTGAAACAGATCTCAGAACAGCTGTCATGTGACACTGTGGTTGAAGAGTGAGGGGATGAAGACTCTATTTAACCCTTGGGAGTCTGAGGCCTCTCAGCCACTTTCGGGGTAGTCTGACATGCCTTGACATTTTTAAATATTTCATCTATCTAAAAAACATTTATCCCAAAGTGTTACATTTGCATTTATTCAGCACAAACTCAGCACCAATAATCTGAGACCACTTATAATGTTATTATTCTATTTTTTGTTAAAATCAACTTTAAACATATACTTTTCAAAAACCTATTTTCAGACATGCGGAGAAATTGTAAAAAAATCACATTATAGACATTTCCAGCCAAGACTTTTGAGCTCTGAAGCTTATAGACACAGGGGTTGGCTACACATAGGTGAAAGAGACATTCTGAAATTTTATGTGGTTCGATTACTAAAGTGTTAGAACTTTGGAGTGACACTCTTTTTCTCAAAGTCAGTGGCCTGCACAATGAATATTGATGAGATAGGTGTCCCCACACCTGTAGTAGTTTGCATACTGTCAATGGCCCATCAGTCTGGAATGTCACTGCACCCCACACCCATCACTTTGTAAAGGTAGATTGAAACGTAAAAAAAGTAGCAACAATAAAATTTCATTTTCATTTTATTGAATGAAAAACTGTGACCATACAAATATAGAAAGTGATAAATATGATGCAGTGACTATTATTAACGCTCTGGGGATGAGGGCATCGTCGACCGAGTATCTTTCTTGTGTATTTCAGTTTATCTGTCTTCTTTTCAAAACTTCCATTGTCGGAAGTATTAACGTTTTTAAAATTAGGTTAAATAGGTAAAAAAGCAAACCGTGTCACCTTTCTTTGTTTTACCTGCATCGGGAGCGTGGAGCACCGCTCTCAGCTGAAGATCGCTATTCACGTTCTAAATAGGCTGGGTTTGAACTGCCGACCGTATGACTACAGGCATACAGGCTTAGCCCACTGAGCCATGAATACAGGTATGAGATTCACTGCTGAAAATGGCAACATTGGCGCAAAGCTTCAGCAGCAGAGACGTATCCGTGTGCTATATTGTAGCCGATCAGTGTAAACACTACCCAGGCATGTGCTCTTGTTTATTTCAATCACAATGGACATATTCACATATTTTTTTACCCAATACTAACTGTCGGATTATCATGTTATTATCATGCGAATAGCGCGATTTGCAAGTGGGAAGACGATCAGAGCTGCTTCGAGACGCAGACGCTTAAAGTCAGTCGCTCTTGTTCTTTCTATTCGTATCACGAAGCTGTAAAAATATATTTAGTTTCTACCTATATATATTTGAAAAGTAGACCGTCCAAGGTTTCTGAGGGTGTTTTTTAAATGTGTATATGACAAAAACTCGCGGAGTTATTTAAACGGTTTGGTGAAATTTCTGTCAGATCCCGCTGGCGGGATCGCAGACTCCAGAGGGTTAATCGCAGTGGTGACACACCTCCTGAAGGTGGAGCAAACCCAGGATGGCCTCCAGCCCCGCCAGCTCGGCCCGGCTTTCCTCTGCCTCTCTCCGGCACTCGGCCAGCCGCTGCTCCTGCTGGGAGCTGGCGGAGCGTAGCTCGGCATTCTCCCGCCTCAGCGCCTCCACCTGCCTCACTGCCCCCGCCTCTCGCTCCTGCAGCTGTCTGCGGGCCTCCTCTGCTTCTCGTTCCTGCAGCTGTCTGTGGGCCACCTCCTTCTCTTGCTCCTGCAGCTGTCTGTGAGCTTTCTCCACCTCCTTGCTCACCTTCTGCTCCTTCTGCAGCTCCAACCTCAGCTGCCTATTCCCAGGACGCAGAAGACCGACAAACTCAGGGCGTCTTCGGCTGACCTCCTGTTACCCTCACAGAAGCCAACGCGACTACACAAGATTAAAATGCGATTATGAGGCAGAAATTCTCCTCATTAAAGCCTAAATCTGCTTTGAACCTCACAGTTTTAATATTAGAGCTGTCTGGATAACCAGATCACCTTAGCTTCCGAAAAGAGACTCAGCTATGAGATAAAAACAGAGTACTGACAGGCATTTGCTCCCTGTATCTGAGATTCCCTGCGGTATCGGGGGACAGACGTACCGGATCTCCTGCGCCAGGACCCCCTGCTCCTGCAGCAGCCCCCCACAGCGGCGCTCCAGCTCCTCCCGCTCCTTGTCACACTGGACAAGACTCTCCTTCAGTTTCCCCTCCTCCTCCAGAACCTTCAGGAAGCGGTCACCCGTCATTTGGGTAAAAAAAAAAAAAAAAAAAAACACAAAAAAAAAAACTACCCCCCCCCCCCAGAGTATGATGTGTAACACGGATGCGTTTCACATGTATGTCAGACTGGAGGTGTTTTGTCTGTCTCTCGCTGGCTCATTGTATGCTTGTGATGAAGCATCTTCCACATATTACAGTGGACGATAAACGCAAGATGACAGCCGTAAGGGGGGGCCTCGCACGGCCTCCAGTCTGCATTCTGGACGGACGGCCATCATCACCTTCCTCAGTCTCTCGCCGGCTTTGGCTTTGTACTCCTCAAAGGCCACGGTCAGCTTCTCAGCGTTGTGAAGGGCCGAGTTCCTCTGCTGCTCGGCCCTTTGGGACAGCAGACGTCACAGTAGACCACAATCACCAGGGTAACTGCACTTTTTGCACACTTCTGCCTCTAGAATACAGCACCTGTCGTAATACTGTATTCATTCAGACTGTCACTGCTTTTGTCACCTGCACCGTATGTTGTATTGCTGCCCTTGTGTTTGTCTTGCACTTTCTCTCTTTACTCTCCTCACTCTGTATAGTTCTGTCCTGCCTGCACTTATGTAGTCTTGTGTCGTTCCTGTTTTTTTTCTTTGTTTTGCATCACAGTCCTAGAGGAGCAATGTTTCATTCCACTGTGTACAGCGTATGTGGCTGAAATGGCAATAAACCTACTTGACTTGAAAAATTCGCACCATCAGCTTTGGCGTTTTTGTTACAAAGATTAAAAAGAAAAATACAAAAAAAAAGCGGATGGCTATGCTTTGCAGGAGGCGGCTCAATGACATGCTTTACATGACAGGTGCAGAAAGTGCAGAGTGTCAGTGTGGGACGGACGAGGAGATGGGGGCTGCTGACGGTCTCACCGTTGCCCTTGGGCGGATCTCTCTGCCAGGACAGCTCTGACCTCCCTCAGTTCCGCCTTCAGCTCCGTCACATGTCTGTTGCTCATGACGACAGCCCGCTGGCTCTCCTGCAACTTCCGCTCTGTCTCTCTGACAGGACAGACAGGCCGATAACGTTTTACAAACGTCCACCCATTTTGATAACAGGGTCACCTGGTGACGCCAGTGCTGCTTGGAGGGTCTCTGCGGGGGAGAAGCCCAAGTCGTCGTCCCGAAGGTCGCCGCTTTGAGTGACCATAATAATACTGGGCCCTTGAGTAAGGTCCTTAACTCCCTAACCTCCACCAGGGGGCGCTGCATAAATGACCCTGTGCTCAGGCCCCCCAATTTCTCTCAGTGACTCTCACCCTGTATGTGTGTCTCATAGGACAGCAAGATGAGATACGCAAAAATGGAATCCCTGCGTGATCGTACTCATACAAATGGCAAATAATAACAATAACGACAATAATGACTGAACTTTTATCCATCAGCATGGGGAAATTCTCTTCTCGCCTGCCATTTTGCCATCTTGCTGCCAGGTGAGAGCAAGTTTGGCAGAGAAGGGCAGCCGCCTGTAGCGACGCCAGGGGGACTGGGGGTTAAGGGACTTGCTCAGGGACTCGTAGATGTGCTGAGGCCAGGCTTGAACTGGCAACCATTTGATTACAGGCACAGAGGCTTAGCCCACTGAAGGACATGCTGCTCTTATGTATAAGAGCATATGATCTTGGTGTGCAGGCTTATAACGAAAGGCCCCATTACCGAAGAGCACTAGAACGCTGCTCCACCTCAGCACCCAAGTCCAGGATCTGCTCCTTCATTACAGACAAACTGGAGGTCTTTGATCCAACCGTGGAGCCCAGAAGATGGATCTGAAACACAAGGGATGATGATGGAGAGCTAGGAAACTGGTCCATTATTCTGTGTGTAACTATCAGCTGTGTGGTCTGAGCTTTGCCTGTCACACCTCTTTTAATGAACAACATAAACAACATCTGATCTGCAATACAGACATCGAAATAAACTTGAGTGACAGTAATATCCTGCAGTTGGTCCAAATCACTTCCCAACAGGTCCAGCCAAACCTTGGTCCTGGAGCTGGTAAGCTCGAACTGCAGTGCCTCCAGTTGTTGGACCAGCTGCTGGTTCTCCAGCACCAGGGAGGAGTTCTTCTCTTGGGTGCTGTGAAGCTGTCTCTTGAGCTGGGAGCTTTCCAACTCCATTTCCCTGGCAGATGCTGGCTGATGGATGCCCATTCACAAAAGAGAAAAGTGTTTTTTCCCCATAGATATTGCAGAAACACAAGGAACGCAAGGAAGTCTAATTTTAGTCTTTAGGCTACATACAACATCAAAAACAAACTGCTGAAAAACACAAACACATTATAAAATGAAAACATCGGGCAATACCCACTCTATAAGACAAAATGAAAATGAATCAATATAAATAAGCAACTGGCGTGATGAATATTTATTGTATCTCATGTCTGGAGCCTGACCCTCGAGTTAGCCATCGTAACAGAGCGCCTCGCAGGACTGGGGCCACCAGCTGGTGGCTTTGGGGCATCGGCTTGTTGGAGATCCTCAATCGTCAAAGCAGCCGGCAGCTCAGGCTGCGGACACCCAGATTGCTCCGTGCAGCTGTTATCAATTCACAAACAGCTATGGTAAAGTGTTCAACGCATCACTGCCTACTGTTTACACGATCAACATTTTCGTGCAGTATTACTAAGTATTGTCTGGTTTCAGTTATTCATAGAGGGTAATAACAGCCCACCTTAGCTGGTTCGACAAAGTCTGCAGGCTGATCTCGGTCCTCCTCAGCTGATTCCGCAAACTGACGACGTTTTCCACCAGATCCTCCTCGTCGTGAAGCGGCATTAGTTACCTACTCAATGCGAGGAGCACGGCTATGGCTACAGGTAATCACGAAACAAAGGCAGATTAACGGCATACATCGTCTGGAATAATTATGCAGGCTGCACCTCGGCAGCTATTGCCAGGAATCACTATAGAAAAAGGAACATTAAGACGGTAATATACAGAAAATGTCGATACAAAGTTTGAATTTTGTATAGCTAAAATTTATCCAAGCTCATGTACTGGGGAAATACTCATTTTTTACACATCTGAATTATATTTAATTACACAGAATGATAGTGTAAAATGCTGCCAAAACTGTAAAAGCTCGCAGAAGGACTATAACAGCAATTACCGAAATAATTAAATGTTAATCCATTAAGAAAATTTGACAACTTAAAACATTTCCAAAACAACCTTCCGTTCCTCCGCCGTTTTCCAAATCCGTTCCTTCCTTCCTTGAGATTAACCAACCAAAGCGACGCTTTAGTATCGCGCCACTCGATTGGGCGACGATAAACGGCTGCTTGAAGCCATTGGCCCTTATAGAGGTTACGAGCCACGAAACCCGCGAATGGAGCAGCACGTTGTAGGAACCATAGAAATCGCCTAGATACCAACTATGCCGTCTATTTTAAAATAAAGCATGAACAGTTCAGTAAGTGCCTGAAGTATTCCCAAAAATCATATAAACATATTATATTGCCTAGTAAATTTACGTTGTTAGCTTTATATACATTTACATACTCATCTCAACTCCTCCGAGCATTAAATATTATTTCTAGATGTGATTAATTACCCCGAGTCAGGAACAACAGCGCCCAAGCTCAGTGTTTTAAATACTATTATACATTCAATCACTGTCAGTTACGTAAAACACAATTTCTAAAACTGCTCTTCTACTCTCAAAACCCCCGACATATTAAAACAACATAAAACAGAATACTGCATTTCACAACGTAAACATTTCTTATAGAAGGTTTATTCTTTGGCTGAAGAAGCCTGTTCAAAGCCAGTAGAAAACGGAGAGCTTAAGTCTAACACTGGCACACCAACAGACAGGAAAAGCTTCTTTACATGTGTGTATATATATATATATATTTATACAAAATCAATATTAAATTAAGAGGTATAGATGTCAGCTTCCAACATGGCTGCTACAAGTGTAAAAGCCCTCTCTGACACCCTCTTCAAACGGCCTGTTAGAGTAAACACATTTTCACTGAAATCTACCAAAAGAGTGTGAAACACTGAACACTTAAAAATCCCCCTTAATAGGAATCAAACCATGTTTGAAATTTATGCATCCAGGCCAATTTGACTATACAAAGAAAATACTCACAGGATGCTGGGCTGGGCAGCTTACAAAAAAAAATTCAGGAATGTGTAAAATAAATGCTCAGATAAAACTTCTTTTAAGAAAATTTTGAAATGACGGGAAACAAAGTATTTTTTTTTTCGTGATCCACAATTGTGCATGACAATTTGTTTTAGCCACTAAGAAAAATAGTTACAACTCAAAGACATTCTGAGCTCTGTGTCTACAGTCAAGTTACTGAAAATATCCTGAGAGGTCTGTGGGTGTCACTGTACCAGTATAAAGTCTGTTCCTAAGTGCACATTTTCAAAAGCAATACATAGCACCGGTATTAAAAAGCCTGAGTAATTTGTGACTGTAAAATATTGCGATGTGTTCCTGAAGCGAAGGTATGGCTAACATGAGAACTGAAATTCAAAAGAAATCCAGAGTGTTTGTGTTCCTTGAATACTGTGTTGCATAGGAAACAGATAACACTACTGAGAAAAATACAGAAAAACTGAATTCAAGGAGTGTAAGACCTTGACGTCCTCCGGCTTATTTCCCGTTTGCCGCTACTGGAGACGTGATTACAGAAACTTGGTTTTGCAGAAGTCCTCTAAGTGTCAAATAAGTTTCATTTCACAATTCAGAAGTGCAGAAAAAGAGCATTATTTACATAAATGACCATATACTGACTGCATATCAATCCCTACATTCATGGCAAGTTCACGCGAATGAACAAAATACAAAATTCTGAAATATCGAAATGCTACAGTGGGGAGTAGCAAGTGAACATTTGCATGAACTGGGAAATCAACTCAAGTCTTAAAATGTAGGTCTTTAAAGTTAAGTCATTGTTACCTCCATGTTAGATAACGTAATTTTCCTTTACGTGATACCGGCATTTACACAATGCTGTAATACTGCTACTCATTAGCTATCAGAGACATGAAAACCAATCGATGCCTTGTTCCAGTTGCCACTGCGAGTGAATAAAAATCTGCATTAAGGGGGAGGGGAAAATAAAATAAAAAAATTAAAAATTATCCTCTAACAAGCTGTGTTTGTTATGTGCAATCAGAGAAACGTAACATCAACGGGCTTGACCGACAACTGCAGCCACCCCAAGGCATACTCAGACGGCAAAACAGTGTTTTGCGCATGTTAGATACAAGTCCACAGCAGCACATGTTCCATTTTGTCAAACACAGCACCCCCTCAGTGTCCAAGGAACAAAAATCCCATCACGGCTTACATTCACCCAGCTGGTATCACACCAGAGTGTTAATCTGTCAATATGTCCTCAAACAATTAAAGACGAACCATCTTACTGAAAGCATATTACTGGGCACAAATAGACCATACCCCCCCCTCCCCCACCCCAACACACCCCCCCCCCCCGAGGCCTCTAGAAACAGATAAACACACAGCATGTTCAGCTTATGAGGCAGTGACCCCCTCCCACTCCACAAGGTACTGCACTTTCCCATCGAGGGTGACCCGCCGGGCCAAGACGCGGTACTTCTCGCCGCATGCCATGCGCCCGGCGGCGCCAAAGTAACTGGAGATGGAACTCTTCAGGTGGCTGAGCTGTGACTCTTGGTCCAGCCCTCGCACAATGTCCGTGTGGAGCCCCGGCAGGGGGCAGGGAGCGGCAGCAGCAGCGGCAGTGGCGGAGGCCTCTGGTTCCACCGGAATCTCCGGGTTGGGGGGCTGCAGGGCCCGGCGAGGCCGCCCCCGTCTGCGCCCGCGGCGTAGGGTGGGCTGTGCGATGGGCCACAGGCGGCCGGCACGTGTCCGGCTGGAGCCACACAGGCTGCGGGCGACAGCAAGGCAGTCAGAAGCAGCCATGTTCGTGCATTTCATGAACAGCGCTCGTCAACATCTCTAACGCAAACAGCTCTGCGATCACGCACAGCGTTACCTTATGGCAAATTCACACAAGCACACGTTGGAAAAAGGTACACCGGAGAGATCTGCCCAGTGACGTGTCTATCAGCCGTTTGCCCGGCGTTCTCTGAATCGTGATGATACAATTCTGAGTTTCAAAGTTACACGGTAAGTTTCAAGGTCACGTTTACTGCAGCGGCAAGGGTTTACATCAATAAACTACATTTGCAAATGTTTTAGAATAGTTATCAATAACTTATGTCCTTAATTATTATTAAAAAAACTGTTTACACTTAGACTGATAGTATAACCAGCATTTTTTATTGTGGTTCAACTGAAGTGTTTTATTAGACATACATTTTACTCAGTAGCAACGTGTTTTAATCGATTATAATCATACATTTAGCTCAATAAATATCGTTTCACTGACATTTTATTAATGTATACAGTGGTACCTCAGTTCTCAAACTCATTAGAACTCAACCAGTTCGAAAAACAATTACCTAGAGCTCGATCTGTATCTCAGAAGTCAAACCGTGAACGCCGACCTAAGATAAGTTGTACGCGTGGGGAAATTAGTCACGTGGCATGTCTCTCAGTGGAAACAAAGGGTAACGGGATTTAATTACAGGTAAGGCAGGCAAAATGCAGATGGACATTACAATGACCAGACTGGGGAAACAAACTGAAACGCGGAGGAAATACAGAGGACTAATGACAACAACCAGAAACAGCTGATCACACGGGGTTAACAAGGGGGCGTGGCACACGGAAGGAGCGGACGATTGGGGCAGGACACATTGTTTGGATACATTTATTTTCTTACTTAACAAATGACTGTTTTGATAAATGTGCTTAGATGTGTTTAGTACAGTATATGCTCCTTGTTTTATCCGGTTCATTTTGTGTTTGAATGCTAAAAAAAAACATATTTAGGTGTAATTTTTTGGGGCTGGGAACCAATTAATTGGTTTTCCATTATTTCTTATGGGGAAAATTCGATCACAACCCGAACTTTTTAGGATTCGATCCGGAGTTCTGGACGGATTAAATTTGAATTCTGAGGTACCGCTGTATTTAGCTCCTTAGTGACTTTTTATTGATTACTGAAGCCCTTTTAAAAATGTTTACAAATGTTTAAAAGGAGATAATTTTTTTATGATTTCATTAAAACGTATTTACATTTATAACTGACATGCTTTATTATGGTTTAACCATGTTTTATTATGGTTTAACCATGTTTTATTATGGTTTAACCAATTTTATTAAATTATTCATGTTTTTGGGAGACAGTTATTTTAAATTGCCATGTTTAAGTTAATATATATTAAGAGATTTTCCCTCAGATTGTTTTTTTTTATTATTTCAAGAGATGTTTTTTGTTGCATTTAGGAGAAATAGTTTAAAGGGAGCAGGCGAAATTAAACGTTAATATCTTATAGATGTGGCTTATTGTAATGTTCTATTTAACTGGTTGGGTATTCTTGTGCAATTTTTTCAATAACAGCACATTTGAAATCAATTTCATTTCTTTATTTAGTGGGCAGAGGCTATTCATCGTCTGGGGTCAATGTTATATCTACCTATTAAAGCAGAAAGACAAAGGAACTGCATAGATTATATTAAATCACCCTTCAATATTTATTTATCGTAAGTCATATCATTATCGTAACAGAACTATGTTATCGCACATCGCCGATTCTCCTCATACCATCCAGGCCTACTTCCCCACCGTAAACCGCCTTTGCACTGAAGTCCTTAATGCGCACAGCTAAAGTAAAAAAGCACTTTCTAGCAAAGTTCACGCCCAGTGTTAGAAACCCTGACATCCACGTTGTCTTCCACAGGGAGTACCTGGACTGCACGGAAACGCTGGTTGAGGTAGTTTCACTGGTGCTCACAGCACCGACGGACTCCACGTCTGAGGTACTTGAAGAAGGTGCTGATTTCTCAGTCTTGCCACTAGAAGGAAATTATGCCGTTTAGTAACTATTAAAATGAGGCACACCCCCCAGAGGGCAAGAAAATGACCTCCTGGATTTTCTTACCTCTTAGGGGCCAGTAGGTGCAGTGGGCTGTTCTCCAGCGTTGAGGGCTTAACTTCTTCCTGTATAAAAAATCAAACAGGATGAAAATGTACTGCTGTCCACATTTAGGGAGTGAAGCATCCCTCGCCCAAGCGGGAGAATCATACGCTTAAGCATTTAACAAACAGGTCTGCGTTTACATTTACTTTTGGGGTCAGAGAGCAGGGCTCAAAGTGACATGATAACTCTGCCCGCGAGGGAGCCAATCTACGCCTGCCAGACAGTGGCTGGTACATCAGGGCATCGGAGAGCAGGACCACCACCACCACCATCACCATCACCACCATCATTATCATCACCACCACCACCAACATCATCAACACCACCAAAGCGGGTAGGTGCTAGGTCTGGGGCCTGGTCCTGACCTGAGTGAGAAGCTCGCTGGACCTCCTCAGCTTGGCCAGGGTCTCCAGTGAATGGCCGGCACGCTTCCTCTTCCCCTTCTTTGTCACCCCATTGATCATCTCACTACAAAAACAAAAAAGTTTACAGGTCCCCCCAAAAAAAAAAAAAAATCACACTCATCCTTACCACAGAAACGGCTGTTTAATCTTACATGCATTTGTTGTCTGAACCGCAAACTGTCTGGGTGCTGGAAATGCGTTAAGTCGTGATATGGCCGATGGCCGTATGTTTGATCTTTCCTACACAGCAGATCTGTCTCGAAATGCATCGATCACTGGCTATCTGATACACAGATGAAAGGAGGCAAGAAAAAATGTTTTGGTGGGGGTGGGGGGTATCGCAGATGTATTGCCACAAAGACGTCTGTAAGGTCACATCAAATGATGCTTTATTTGCCATTTCGACAAGTATGAGTACAACGGAGTGCTTTTTTTCCCCACATATCATGCTCAGCACAGTCCGGGGTTCCAGCATAAGCTCGCTCACTCTTTCGGTGCCCCTAGGGCAATTTTTGGCCAGTGGACCTCGCTCAAAAGTCCAACACCAATGGGACTATTCTGCCGAACATGGGATTCAAACCAACAACCTTCCGATCACAGGCACAGGGGATTATCCCACCGAGCCGCAAATGAACGTCATGCCACAGAGTTCATGCCGGCACTCACCTGGGCACCAGGATGGGTTTGGTGGACTTGCGGCCCTTTATCTTGATTTCATGAGACGCTTTCTCTGGCTCGCGGTCAGCCTGGAGGTCCGTGTTCTTGGGTGCCGGTGGGAAGCGGATCCGCAGTCCGAACAGATGCTTCTTCTTCTTTATCTCTTTCCCAGACATGAACCTGGGGGAGTGGGGGGGTCAGACACGGATACGTCGCTCAGCTATCACCCATGAAGCCCCGAACGCGGAGACGTGGCGTCGGACCCTGAACTTACATGGTGTGGTTGCTATTCAACGCTTCCAAGATGCTGTCGTATCTCTCTGATTTAGGAGTGTCCCCAAGCTGTGGTGGAGAAACAGGACAATTAAACCTTCTGACAACACATCTCATTTATAAACTAAACCAAGACTAATCATTTCAGAAATACCACCTTCCTGGACCACATACCAAATGGAAATGTTAACGGTTTCGATCAGAACCGCCCCCCCACACTGAAAACTGACCTCCCCAAGCTGTAGTCTGTCCCAGTTTTCGTTGATGTAGGTCATAAGTTCCAGCTCAGAATCAAAGTATTTCTTTTTGTGAATGACGCTGAGGTTGTAAAGGCTCAGATGAGCCACGTCTGCCCTGTGAATGAGGGGAGGGAGGGGAGGGAAGTCTTCAGGCATTATGGGAATTATGCAGACATGCAATGTGAGTGTTACATGGACGTAGGATAGTGATGCGATAATGTGGAAATTTCGGCTGGTACGGAATATTTTGCTAATATCACCGATATTGATAAATGGCTAACTTTTGAGCGGCACAAATCTTTAGCGAAACTTTATATACAAAGTCTATATTCACATCATATAACACGAGTAGTAAGAGGTCAGCGAAACTCGGGCCACTTGAGGGTCTGTGGCGAGGTTCTAAATACTGAAGGGGCCGACGGAGCCCTTGACCGCCACTGGAAAACGGCTGATTGTTCAATGCCGTCATCTCCATTATTTTAGTAGATATAGCTTTAGCTCTGGTGCTGACACTTGGAATACTGACTTAAGCCTAAATATTGACCAGGAATATCAGCCAAGATTGATACATCGGACTGACGCCATTGCCTTGTTTTTTGATGAATATCGACCAACATATTGTGCATCTCTACTGTAGGAGGTGTTCACACCCACTGCACATAACGGTGCAAACCATTAGAGACTCACCACTGCAGGGGAAGACGTTTGAGGTACTCCGGTCCAGAATTGCAAACTGAACAAATAAATAGATAGAACCTAACGTGAAAGAAGCACAAGGATACATTTAAGTCTCACACAGGCTCCGCCCACGAGTCATCAAGTGTCGTGAGAGGCTGCATGGTGAATGGGGGAGGGGCTACCTGTCTCCGAACAGCATGGGCTTCTGAAAGCACTGGATACACGCCTCGTGGAACCACTGTTTGCACTGATTGCACTGCAGCATCTTCAGATACCAGCTGGGAGGAGGTCAAGCTACGCATCAGTCAAGGAATACTAGCGACAGAAAGATAAATGTGTATTTGGGAAATCTGTTTAAAAGAAAATATGAAAAAAAGAGCGCAGGCTCTGATTGTGGGGTTGGGCGGAGTGTCTGGCTGTGGGCGGAGTGTCTGGCTGTGGGCGGAGTGTCTGGCTGTGGGCGGAGTGTCTGGCTGTGGGC